TTCCTTCCTTCCTTCCTTCCTTCCTTCCTTCCTTCCTTCCTTCCTTCAAGAAAATCAAATTCTCTGTGAATATTTACATATTTCTGTTAGTTTTATATTTGTCTCCTCCTTTTGATAAATATTTCTTTTCTGGGAAGGTGAACATTAAGGCCTTGATCTTGCGATCTGCACTTTGTCCCCAGACCTTTATATGGCCTTTGGAGAGCTGAGCGCGCAAATCAGATCACAAATGCAATGCTGGACTGCAGCAGCTCGATTTTCACCTGCTCAAGGTACTCTTCAATACATTACTCATCCTCTGCTGCCATCGTATGGCCATTGCATTTATCGCCATGGCTGTACATGCCCACCTCAAAACCTCTCTGACCAACTTATTATTAATAGGCGATGAGAAGTAGGCTTCGATTATCTGTGTCACAGTCAGGATGAAACTCTGGTAATCTTTACTCTTTTTTGTTGTTGTTGTTTTAACAGAAATATTGCCGGAGGTCATGGGTCTTTGCACGTGAGTAACTCATTGCCCTTTAATTGGAAGGGTGACTGCAAAGCAGCTAGCGGGGAGAGATTGTTCTCGATGTGGAATCTGCATTTATGCATTCATTCTGAGTGCAACCATGTAATCAGGTCAACAAGGTGCCACTCTGCAGTGGTGTAGGTGGAAGATTGGCAGCACGCTATTAGGAACTGGGAGAAGCTAAAGAGGAGAGAGACATTTATGTTATCTCTGCCTCCAGATGGGATCCCAACCTACTGTGCATTTCTGGGTAGTCTTTATCAGAGCTCTGCACATCACGAAAATGACTTTTAAAACTCTCAGCCAGAGAGTACTCTCCACCCCAACTTGACTTATACTTCTCAGGAGAGAACTGTCTTAGACCTCTCCAAGTCGGTTTCCTTCTTTTTGCAAGAGCAAGAGTGCAACATACCTTGGAATAAAGAGAATCATCAAGGCAAAGGGCAGCTGCACTGGCTGAAGCTGGAGTGAAGAAACAACTCATAAAGTCTCAGTGCATCCAGACCCTTGTTTGTGGATTGTGTGCACACTTCTACCAGTAAGCTGACTGTTGGGCTTGATCAGGGACATCTGAATTGCTTGAAGACTCCACTGGGTGATCTTTGGTTGAAGAACTGTCACCAAAATTGGGGAGTAGAATATAAACTCCAGAACCCAAGAAAAAAACGAGAAAGAAACAAATGCAAGGGTTCTCTGCTTGATCTCAGTGTTTTTTACAATGTCTTGGGAGGACTCCAGGACGTCAGTACTTCTGCTGACCAGCATTCTGTTGCTGATCTTGCAAAGATTGGTAAGAGGAGTAAATACTGTGTTTTATTTGAAATGATGAAATCATTTATCCTACTGAAAAAAAAAAAAAAATTAAATACAATCTTTTAGGAGCTTCGGATTAATTCTCGTGGAATTGTTCCTCTCCTTTTCCAGCCTGTCTCAGTTGAAATTCTGCCAACAGCAGCGTGCTGTTGTATGGGACCATACTGCTCTACTTACAACTTGTGAATTTTAGCTTCCCCTCAAAGAAATCACAGTATCATTGAGAAATAATTGGAATTCTTATATGGTTTGTGGACCAGACTGACTTCGGAGGCTAGGAAGGGTATTGGATAATTAGTGTGTCCTTTCACAAATAAAATATATTAGAGATTATTTTCTTTTTATAGCACTGGGTTATGTAAAACCTTACTCATGTTTTTAATGTTTATTTACATGACAAGTCTATTTGGCCTCACTGAGACAGAATGGACAAATAAAAGTTTTGGCACAGAGCTGCTGTTTTCTCCTTACTGAACATCCTGCTCTGGAGCCAGAATATGTCCATGGGACATAAGACAGAAAGAAGAGATTCACCTGTGAGATGTGTCCAGGCTGCACTGACATAATCTTCTTATTCTTTCTTTCTTCAAAATCACTCACAAACCATTAACAGAATATTGAACTTCATGCACTGTAGGTCTGTCATATGGGCCCCATCCCCTTGACCTTTGAAGGGAAACTGTCCATAAGTCTTCAGTGCCATTGATCTCCATAAAATAAGAACTATAGCATTCTGGTTGTTATTTGCTGAAATGGAGCTTGAACCAAAGGTTGCTCATAAAGGGCTTGTCAAAGATGCCTATTTTCTATGCCTTTTCTGTCAATAATGAAAAACTGAAGGGAGAAGGTAGGGGAAAACCTGGCTTCCATTTACAGAGATTTAGAAAAAATCACACCTATGATGTTAACTATCATTTGCTTTTGCAATACAGGCAGCGTCCCACCTTATGATGGATATGGCTCTACATTCCTTTGATGACCAGTACCTGGGTTGCAGAGAGCAGATGATGGAAGAACTGGAGAGGGGAGACTACTTCCAGAAGGAAATAGCTGCTAGTAAGAACTATTTGAACCTCTGGAAGAAGGCTCAGGAAGCTTTGCTGAAGAGCCCTGTAGGTCTCCTGAGGGAGATGCATGATAGTCACGCCACCGTCCTCATGGCTTACACCATGAATTCTTCCCTGCACTCTCAGCTGAACTGGGCCACATCCACAGCAGGAAGGTCTCCAGAGCATTACAGACACAACTTCAGCTACAAATATTTTCACTTTTACCTAACGACAGCTATCCAGATTATGAAGCAGTGGCAGAGCAGCAAGGACGGCGTGGGGAAACGTCACTGCTACCGGGTGCACAGAGGTGTGAAGGACTTATATATTGAGGCTACAGTTGGCAGCATGGTGAGATTTGGCCGTTTCACCTCCACCTCTCGCCTCTGGAATGAAGCCCAGAAATTTGGGAATGAAACTTTGTTTACGGTGACAACCTGCCTGGGAGCAGCTATGCAAGGCTTTTCTTACTACACATCTGAGAAGGAAGTCCTCATTCCCCCTTATGAGATATTCCTTGTCAAAAACTTCTTTCGGACGCAGCATGGCAACCGGCTCCACCTGCATTCCGTGGGGAACTACAGCAAGTACCGCTGCCATCTCTTGGAAGGTACTGTACCCTTTGAGCAGGTGGGATGCAGGCAGCCTGGTCTCCAGTAGCTCCACCAGCTCACACCAGATGTATCTACAGGGGGCCACCTGCTGCACAGCAGGCCTCAGGGCACTTTGCAGCCTCTGCTTATGTTATCTGCTATTGCAAGGATGCTGCAGGACGCATGCATTGTGTCCCCAGCCTCCCTTAATGCAAGGGCAGATGAGATTTGCTGGCAACTTGAGTTCAGACACATCAGGCCTCAGGACTACACAGGACTTTAGTGCAGTACTACTCTGCCAAGCTCAAATAAATGTAAACAAAACTACCCTGCTTCATTCCTGTTCTCCTTCCTGTGGCAGAAGACAGGAGAGGTATTGACTGGCAAAACACACAGTATCAGTTTCCTGGCTAAAGAGATAACTCTTCTGTTGTATGACCTCAGTGGGTTTGTTCCACAGCCCTGTCCTAAGAGTGCACCAATAATATGGGATCCTGCTTTTGTCCCTTTGGAATGAGAATTTTTGCTCAGCACTAAGCCAGAATAGTAGGTAGACTTGAGGAAATGCTTTTTTAGGGCAAAGGTGCTTTTAGAAAGGGCAGGAAGTCCTAGGCAGTCAAAGGAGACTTAAATGACTGCTCTCTCAACTTTCTTTCAGCTTCAAGAATCAAGAACAGTGGATCTACTGCCTCTGCCTCCGTCATTCTTTTTATTGTAGTTGGCGTTTTATTGTGCTGGGCCAGGTAATGACTGACTCTCTGGCTACATCCAGAAATATACACTTGAATAACAGACAAGAAAAAACAGTTGGGTGAACTGCTTGGCTTTCTGAGCATCTCCATGAAAGTTTGATGCTGCCATTCCATTGGAAATCCTGTGTCAATAAACACAGAACCTTAGAAACCTGAGAAATGCTAGCATTAGAAATGAGAGCACTTAGGGAATGTGAGTGTCTTTGTTTTTTGGGAGGACTGAAATGAGTTGCCGGATACTCAGTATTTCTGACATCCGATATAGACACACGCAATGGCAGAGATCATCATGTAATTATTTAAATGTAGTAGCATGCTCTAGCAAACTGAACAGCTGCTGCTACAGAAATCCTGAAACATGTTTGCCTGCACAGTTTGAACAGATATTATGATTATTATTTTACGATTAGCTTGTTCTGTATGTATATTTCACACCACATTTTTGTTTCCTTTGCTTTACCATTCATTGCAAATAATTGATTGACAGAACTTTATTATTATTCCTAATTGCTCAGAGACACTAAGTACACATTTCAAAAACGACTGGGAAGATTAGAAACAGCTGTCACAGGTACGTCTTGGATGTGTGCAGTCAAGCTTGCTTGAACTCCTTCCTATGTGAAAGTTAACGGAATCAAGGTGGACAAGGTTGGCACATTTGTGTCTCTTGCAACTTTTCTGTTATTGCTGGGATGCAGTTTTCAATCATTTTAACAAAGATTTGGAACGCTTCACACGGCGGCCTCAGCACCCTGAAAGCCTCCTCTAAGCAGTCAGCTGCTACTTTCAGGCTTTTCTTTACGGACCGATGTCCTCGGAGGAGGGTCTGTATGAAAGCAAAAAGCGAAGAGTTGGAGGACACAGAACGAAGCTTGAGCTGTTGTGATGTTTCACCTGAGGAGGAGCTGTCTTCTGCAGTACTTGGTGTCCCATTCTGTTGCAGCATCTTAATGATATCAGCATAGTCCATGAGAAGTTCTGATACATGGAGGGATAAAGCAGGCGAACTCAGTAACTGCTCCATAGCAAACTCGACTGTGCCAGGGAAATTATCATGTTTTAACAACACTGCAACCAGTGCACCCAAGATACTTCCTATAATCCCCTTATAATGATCATAGATATCTTTTACTGCAGCCATTTTTTCCTGTAGAGAGATGATGCGACCGGTAATTTTAGCACACAATCTTTGTTTCATGCTTTCCTGTACATCTCTGTCTCTTGTTTCCACTGTGGCCTGCATCTGTTTTAAAGCACTGACCAGGAACTGCAGGTTCTCTTTAATGCTGAAGTTTTCTTTTACTGTCATGGTGGGGAAGTTGGTACCAAGCTGGTGATTGAGGATCTGGAATATTGTATTAGTTGAAGAGACATAAATGTACACTAATTCATACAGATTCTGGCAGGCCTTCAGCAGCCTTTCTTTGTCACTGCTAAAACCGAGGTGGGCTAACATTTCTGAAGGAGGTGTCCGGCTCTGAAAAGCAAACAGAGGAAATACAGGTGACAAAGAAGGGGAAATACAAATATTTTCAGCTAGAACGTCACATTTTTGAAATCAATATTACAAATTATCAAACCACCTTACTCTCCTCACAAGACCTCAGTGTTAGAAAAAAAAAACAACAGAAAAAGCTCTTAGTCAACCTTACCAAAATGGACAGCAAAATACGGTTTCAGAAGCTGCAGGTGTGGTTTTTCTTATGGATGCAAGAGTTCTGAACCTGACCTTCAGCATGTCATCTGAAAAGCAATAGTAGAGGAGATGAAATAGCAGATGAATTATTTTCACCTTTGATATTTATTGGATATTTATTGGTAAAGTTGTCTAAAGTTGTCTAAGTCCTCTCAAACAATCTACATTACATCATCCTTAGAACTATAATCCTTCAGTTTGCATATAGTAGTGGGTATACACAAAATTAAACATATTACAGGAGTCTTCACATGTCCGACACTTTGGGCTTTTTTCTGTTGTTCTGAGAACAGTGAGTTATACCATCCCCTTACAGCAATGGCTGTAGATTCTTCTGCCATAGGCAGATGGATTCATGCTGCCCCTATTCTCTTCAGGAAAAAAAGGCCTTTGTTAGGAGGACCTAACAATTGTGAACTAGTGTGAAATAAATTGTAATGTGTTAAAATTAAAAGGAAAGGAAAACGAGGAAGAAAATGAGGAGAACTCAGATAAACATCGCATAATAAAATTAATGGCAAACAGGCAGGCAGCAGGACCCAGCTAAAGCCCAGGCTCTGGATCCCTGACTCATCACATGCCGCTGGAAAACACCAGAGGAACACAGTGGAAACAGGATGAGATCACTGCCCTGTACACATTCAGCTGTCTGAAAGAGCACTTGGGCAAAATCAGGTAGGCAGTCTGAATGTTTAACTCAAAAAGCCTCTGGGAAAAAATATGCCTGGAGTTGGAGAAATAGACAGAAATATGGAAATGTGTGTGGCCTGTCTAACTCTAAAAAGTGAATGTGAATAAAGCGTCAATGTGAAGAATAAGAGATAAGTTACATTTAAGGGACAGAAAATCAAAAGAAATCATTGGAAGCTGAAAGAATCATGCTTAAAAATAGATGCTATCAGTATTCTCCATAGCTTTCTAGTAGGTAAAATGTTCATTGAAACGCTCTTTCTCTTAGAACATTTTGTCTTTGCAGTTTGTACAAATGGGGATTAACAAATGATCTTTCAACCTAGCATCAGCGAAGTGGAAGGTATTAATATCGCACTGAGCCAGAGTACAAGCCAACAGCATCCCAGAAGCATAAGGAATCATACCTTGAGCTGGCAGGACTTTTTGTTTCCCTAAGTCAAAACCTTTTACTGTATGTAACCTTTGCTTCCTCTAGGCTTAAGAAAGATAAGTTAAAGAGCTTATTCTCTTAGCAGAGCTACAAGGTAAGTGTCTGAAACAACAATGTACTGTGCAAAATACTGTGGGAAAAATCATGAGAGAACTGGCTTGTAGTTCAACACTAACACTAAAAGTTGGCTAGAGGAGTGTTAAGATCATTCTGCTTTTCCAAATGATCTTGCTGGGGAAGATGTGTTTAGTGAAGTACAGCTGGGATCACAGTTAACTAATAAGACAGGAACTACAAAGGAAAAAATTGGCGCAAATGTATCTTTCAACAAGAAAAATCTAGCTAATCTCCCACACTTGATTATTTGTAGCTATAACTCTGCTGTGTGGGCACTGAGAACAAGAAGAGATTTATCTTGGAAATGTCTAAAAATGGCTCAATAAAAGTGGTTTGGAATAAAAGGGTTGAGAAAGCAAAAGCATCACCAAAGAAACCAGTCATTCTACTCATTCATTGTTTGGCTCCGTTGCAATGTAAGATGCATGTGCTAAAGTCAAAATCATTTTTACTTTGCAGCTGGTGATGGCTTAAAAGATGGCACAGAGAGGGAGTGTGGCTGCATGAGCAGGGCAGACCCTGCAGGCTGCTGCCTGCTGCTCCAAGGCAGTCTGTCCTCCCAGGCATGCTGCAGGAGTTGACATGGCACAATGAATGTCAGGCGGCTGCCTGTAGCTGCTTGACGTTTGGCAGTGAAAAATCAACAGGGTCTTCGTGGTATTATGAAGGGATGTGATTAGGAATACTGAAGAAAGAAACAGTGAAGGGAGAGGGGCTACATATCAAGAAAGAAAACACAGTAGGTGTTGTTTGCAAGTGATATGGGTAGAGATGGGTTTGTTATAGACAATTTTGCTATTTTCTATGAATTCCCAAATGTGATTTAGCATGCATATAAAGTTCCTATATTCCTCTTGAATGGGATAAGAAATAAACTACAGTGGCTTAAAGCACCCTCATGCTGACACAGACTGCACAGTCATTATAGTCATTTAAAAGTCGGATATCGCTAATGTCACTAAAACAAAAGTAGGTCGACAGAAAAGTTTATCTAGAAAAGGTTTTTCATTTCCACACCTTATTTTAGATTTTACTGACTAGATGAGCTTTTCCTGTTCTTTAGTGAACTAGTTCAGTTTCTACCATCTGTAGTTTCCTAAATGAGGGAAGACTCATGTTCATTTTACCTATCTACTAATTGCATATCATTTTACCAATCTACTATTGCATATGCATAATTGCATATTGTTAGCTGGCTTTGTTGCTCTGAGCATGTTCAGAAGTCTCATAAAGTCCTTTTTGAATAATTTGGTTAAGGATACATAACAGTGTTTAAGACTTATGGATGTACAAGCTATGTCTTGGGATTTGATTTCCCAAGCATAAGAACTAGTGAGGCAGAGACAAAGCAGTCTACATTTCACTGCTTATTAAGGGATGGAATTATGGGTATTAAACAGAGCAAGAACCTTCTTTTTTCTCTTGAAGTAGTTTATTCCTGAAGAATGGCACTGAGTGACCTCCTTTACCCAGAAAACCCCAGGAGACGACAAGAACTGATCCATCTGCACCGGGAATTGCTTGACTGCATGTCCATGAATTTCCATGCAACAAATGAGCTGGCTGGAGTTCTGAATGCACACCTGGGGTGTACTATCACCCACATCAAGATGAAAGAGAGCAGCACTGTCAAAGAGAACTGTGATATTATCATTCAAGCGATGCGTGAGATTCAGTGTCAAGTACAGAAGATTGATAGTGACATGAGGGAGAAGCTGGAGCCTGTGCTGTACCAGAAGCTGTACGATATCAAAGAGCCTGAGTTGGAGAAAATTGCAATAGCCCATAAAGTTTTTTCCATTGTTCTTGGAGAAGTGACTTCAACTGCTGGGATGGTAGCTGTCAAACTGCTTAGCTCCAACCTTATCACTATCACTGTCTGCAAACTCGTTAGCCTCCTTGCGCAGATCGGGGCATCTGTTCTTGGAGGAATCAGCATTACCATCCTTGGGCTTGGCATGGAAATGATTCTCCATGCCATTCTGGGAGCTGTAGAGAGGAATCAGCTGCTGGCAGCTGTGAGGAGCTATGAGGAGCACCTGGCTGAGTTTAAAGAAGCATCAGAAAAATACCAGTGTGCCATACGTGAAGTAACTTCTTTGGTCAGACATCAAGTTCAGTGAATGGAAAGGCAACACTTTAAATACATGGCACTTTTTCTTCACCTGTTTTCCAGAATGGATTGTAGATGAAATGCTATTGGTAATACTGACAGTAACAAGCACTGCTGGAGCAGAAGTGGTGAGAAAGTACAGTTTTTCTCTTCCAGAGTTTCTCCATCAAAATGACATCATAACAGAAGAAAATGATTTCAGCAAAACAACCATATAATCACCTGAAGAATTTACCAGGATGGCTGTTACCATGATCTCTTGGTGTGGATTTGTGCTAAATCTGACAGGCTGAATTCCCCATTCATAGAAGTGCTTACAAGGACTAGCTAAAGCACATGTAACTCCTATTTCCTCTGCCTTCTTGCCTGAGAAGCCAGCCAGAGATCTTCATATAAACTCTAATGCCAGCAGATTAACAGATAGAAAAATTACGGGCCTACAGGCCCAACAGTTGAGAGAACCCAGCTGTAGTGCTCCTGATGTATCTAGCTGTGAGAAACAGCATGTTATCAGAATTGTCCTGCTCCCGCCTGCTCACAGGTAGATGCTTCTGTGCACACTTGCTACTTTGTTGATCAAATGGCATTATATGCTTACACAAGGATTTGTAAGATTACAGCCCTATTAATGTGCTAAATTTACTTACAAGAGCTTCACGAGTCACCAGTGTGGGACTGCCAAAAATACTCTAATCCTATATTTCACAACTTGCCACCAAATGGCCTTATTTTGCAACCTTTCAGAACAAAGCTAGAAGCAAGAGCATGATTTGCTGTCAATCTCTGATTTGCTGTGGTTTGCTTTTTTTCTTTGAAAAAAAAAAAAAAAGTATATATATATATATAGAATTAGGAATTAATAAAAATATATCTAAATATTCTCAGTGCTCTCTTTCCTGCACTTGATTTTTTTTTAAAATTATCATAAGAAATCAATCTCAAATCAAATCAAGAAAAAAATATTGAAATCCTTCATTATGGATGCAGATTATAAATTCTTCATACATGCTTGTTAACATTCAGCATCAAATGCTGATTAGGTAGTGCATGCAAAAATGAAGAGACGGGTGAGATTACATCAAGGAAGCTGTCCACTGTCGTCTTCCAATCTGTTTTGGTGTTGTGTATATATATATATGCATATATATATATACAACCTTTTTTTTTTTTTTTTTTTTTTTTTTTCCTACTATTCCCACTTTATTATTTCTTTTTTCCTCTTTTGTTTTCACTAACGTGGTAGCCACTAGATGGCAATGCAGCTGCTGGCTCTCAAGAGACAAAGTTCAAATGCCAGGGAGGCCACTGCTGAATTGATAAAACTGGGACCAGCACAAGCCACAGGCTGGGCAGTGTGACCTAGGAGAGGCAATTCAGAGGAAGCAAAAAAAACCTGCCTTACCAAGACATAAGCTTTTGTGTTGGCTTGGTGACCCAAAGCATCTTGTTTAATGTGTGATGTAGCCTCACTCCTGACCTGTACAGCAGTCAGTTTAGGGGCAGCTGTTCAGAGGCAAGAGGCTGTACAAACTGTCCAGCTGCAGAAGCAGTGCCATTTTGAGCGTTGCAGAGGCAGGAGTTCCTCATTCCTGCTGTTTTCTGTGCACAAATCTACACTCTAATTTAGGGAGAAAAAGAATGAGCTCACTACGTATCTCTGTGAGATTGTCAGCCACTGCTGTAGTAGAAAAGTGGAGTCAAACAGAAGCAAATCCGTTGTACTTTTCAGAGAGCTTACCCACATTTTCTTGAAAGCAAATTCTAAGCAGTGCCAGTGGAAGCAGGACACACAATGAAGAACCTAAAAATACAGTTTCTATTCACCTTTTGATTGATCCTTGATCCTGCTGGGCTTAGTGGAAGGATGACTTCCTTGAAAAAGCAGGTGCCTGAGATGTCCTCATGTCCATAAGATGCTGAAGGTGCTGGAGCCCAGCAGGAGGGAACCTTTCCCTCAGTGTATGGGGCAGAAGGCTGTGAGCCCACAGAAGCCTGGCCAGAACCCCGGGGAGCTGACCTCACAGTGGGGTACAGCACCTCCCACCCCCACAAGGGAGCCCTGAGGTTAAAAAGAAACACACGTTCTTTTCCCCTAGTCCAGCAAAAAAAAGAATCTATGGGACTTGCTGATATCACTGGCAGTTGTGTAGTATATTTTTCTACTAGTCAGCAGACGTCCCTAGGAGAAAGCAGTTGTGGTCGTCATGGTAACGCTTTGCCCGAGCTGAATATTGCCACAGTGAGAGACCCAGCCTCTGTGTGGAGCGGGCAACCTGCAAAGGCTCAGCAAGCTCTCTCTCTCCAGTGATACGGCGCTCGTCAAGGATGCTCATGGTAGAGGTGTTCCCACAACATCCCTCATGTATTCCCTCCCTGCTCTGCGTGTGGACACAGAATGAAGAACTAAATCTGCATAGTGCAGACGTGTTCTACATAAGCACAACCCCAATGAAGAAGGCAGCCACAACGAGGCACTGCTAAGCAACCAACTGCCTCATGTGGCTGCTGAAGGTGTCAGTAAACATCACCTGCTTCCTTCTATCACAAACCAAAGACAGGGACAAGATTTAAATTATTTCCATTTATTTCTCACAGCATCTATTAAACAGTGAAAAAGTCTCACAGCAATTCAGATTGTTCAGAGTTTTATTTCCCAACCCTCCCCCAGACCGCCGCCGTCCCGGCAACCCCCGCGCGTGCCAGAAAGGCAGCGGGATCATAGAGTTGGCGCCGTGCTGCACTTGTGCTTTTACGACAGTCGTGCTTTACGGCGGTCGTGCTTTACCGCGGCGCGCCACTCCGTCCCCGTTCAAGATGGCGGCGCAGCAGCGGCGGGCAGCGCGGTGGTGGTAGAGGCCGCGGCGGCGGGAGGGAGCTGAGCTGCCTCGCCTTACCCCGCCGGGCCGAGTGGTGAGAGACAAGGGATGGAGCTGGGATAGGGAAAGGGAAAGGGAAAGGAAGCGGGGGGAGGAAGGCGGTTGGCGCTGCCGCCTTCTTCCGTTCCCCCAGCATCCCTCGAGGTGGGGAGGCCTTCGTGTGCTTCACTGGAGACTTTATGCCTCGCTCCCCAGTGCTCACGAAGCATACGTTGGGTCGGTTGATTTTTCCCTCCTCCTTCACCGGTTATCTTGTGCGGACCCTCCTTTTTGCCCTAAAAGGATTTGGGATCAGGGTTTGAGAACGTTTTTCTCTTTGAGAAAGGCAATGCCTCTGACTGTAGTTCAGCCATTACAGTTGACTGTAAGTTAAAGAAGTGCCCAAAGGTGGGAAAGAACTCTTTATTAGAATAATCTTTCCTTTCTGGTCATTGTGATGCAGCTTGAAACAGATGCAGATTGAGATGGCATAAGGGTAGTGGTCTGTGAGGAGAAAAACAATGTGTACAGAGTGCTTCTTGATGG